TTCTGATAACGGTACAGAATTTACCAATCAGTTATTTAGTGAATTTGTTGCCTTACACAAAATTAATCATCATAGAACTTTGCCGCATAGTCCTAACGATAACGGTATAGTAGAAAGATTTCACTCTACTTTGCTTGAGCACCTTCGTATTTTAAAACTTAGTCATAAAAATCAGGACGTAATTAACCTTATCCCGTACGGTATTTTAGCATACAATAGTTCTATTCATTCATTCACTAAGTGCCGACCTTTTGATATTATAACTGGCCACTTTGACCCGCGAGATCCTCTCGATATAGATATATCTAAGCACTTAATGCAGCAGTACATGCAAACCCATCGTGACAATATGAAACTTGTCTATGACGCAATAAATGAGTCATCGCTGAGTACTCGTACTCACATTATAGAAAATCTAAATAAAACCCGCGAACCGGAAATCGAGTACCAACCCCAACAACGCGTGTTCGTTAACAACCCTTTAGCAAGTCGTCAAAAGCTAGCCCCACGATATAGTCAGGATACTGTTCTTGCGGACTTACCTATACACATATATACCTCTAGAAAGCGCGGTCCCGTAGCTAAAAGTAGGTTAAAACGAGTCCCTAAAAGTGCCCAATTGTTGCAGGGTGCTACTGGTCCTGACTGCTCGTTTGATAACGGCTCAGGAACGCAATCAAGAGATAACACTTGAGAGCCTTGATGATGGTCCTGGATTACTCCCATTTAGACTCGGAGAAACGAGGCTTATTTCCCATTTTCATACTTTCTTACAATATATACAACTCCAAGATATTAGCGATAAAATAGAATTATTACAAGTCCAATTAGCAGATTTTAAACTCCAATTGAAAAATGATACTTTCATGTTATATGAACTACAAATAGAATACTTATCCTCTAAACTATTAAATGTTCTTAGCCACTTAGAATCGTTAGAATCTACTAGAGTTAAAAGAGGTCTTATTGATGGCTTGGGTTCCGTAATTAAAACTATCACTGGTAATTTAGATCACTCTGATGCAATAAGGTACGATAAGGCTATTAAAATTTTACAGGATAATGATAATAAAATTATCAATCAGTTTAATTCCCACATTACTTTAAATAACGAGTGGATGGCCCAGCATTCTGATATCATGTCTAAACTTGTTGAAAATCAAATAAAAATTAATGAAACTTTAAAGATTATTTTAGATTCAGATGCATATAGAGACTCAAGTCTTATTAAATACATGAAATTTGCGCAACATTTAGCTATTATTACAGAGAACATAGATGACGTTATCAGTGAACTTATTAGAATAGAAAATAGTTTAGCTTTTATCCGTGCGTCAAGCGCGCACCACTCAATGATTAGTATTAAAGTTTTAGGTAAAATGATTAATAGGTTAATATCAATATACGGTAAGGAACATGTGTTAGAGTTAGAACTAAGGGAATATTATGAGCTAATAAAACCTGGTTATTATTTCTCAGGTACCAGAATAGTAGTTATATTTAAATTACCTCTTTTTATTAAAGATAGTTATGACTTGTATAGATTGTCCATTGCTCCTAATAAATACCAGCAGGCCCTCATCCCTCCTTATCCTCTAATAGCAACAAACAGGAAAGGTTACGTGTACATGGAGGCAGAATGCCCGAAGTACAATCACTGGTACCTCTGCGGTGAGAAGATGGACCACCAGATACGACAGCAGCCAGACTGCACTCAAGAGCTCATCATTAACCAAGCCTTGGACAAGACCTGCCAGATGACTACGATAACACTCTCAAGAATCTCCTTGGAAGAACTTGACGAGAAGCACTATATCATATCCTTCCCAAATGCTACGAAGATTCATCTGCGATGCGCACGAGATGACTACACCATCCTTAGTGGCACCTACTTAATCACAGTGCCTGTCAACTGTTTCCTGTTCACCTCAGAATTCACTATCACTAATACTAATGATCAAATTGAAGGACGCCCTTTGAAGATAATGAAACTACCATACGATAAGGAAGCTCACGCCAACTCTTCATCCCACGTTTATCTCAAATCAATTGACTTGACAAGATTACATGAAGCCCAGCATCACCTAGTGACGCAACCAACTCTACAAATTGAACAAGTACCAGCGAACTATCTTTATCATACAACTATACCACTGTACACTATCATACTAATAAGTGTACTTGTAGTCTCAGGTGTCCTGATACTAAGACACTTTGGGTTACTACAACGCCAGCCGAAGGTAAAGAACACCCCTACTCGAGATGACATCTACGCGAAGCCTGAAAATCCTGGATCGCAGAAGACAGCAATATTTCACCATCTCAAAATGCAGAAATAGTTGCTGTTCTCAGGGGGGAGGTGTTATATGGACGCACCCTTAGCAAATCGCAAGTAAGCAGCTGCCCCGTGTACTATTGCAACATCGTTCACACGAGGCAAGAATGCAACGTTGACGGAAAGAGGTAGCGACGAACTCAAAGGAGGCCGGCGCCATCCGACACTGCGTTTTAATGGGAATCTTCCACATTTCACAATTACTTCTTTTAAACATTATTACTGTCTATATCTAGCATCGATAGGAACTAGACTAGTTTCTTTAGTAGTAAATTTAAATTGTAATTACATAAGTTTTATTTTAATTAAATTACTTTGAATTAATTTTGGTTTTTTTTGGGTCCTCCGGCGGCGACATCCATAATTTATTTCTCCGAAGTACTTGTTTATTTGTCTTTCATTTGTTTTGTGTGATGGAACTGTCATTTCTAGACTCTGCGTTGTTCTAGTCAGGAACGTCGGTCCAAAGGTTGCGTTGTACATATTACTAATCATAATCAACGGTTGAGTAGTCATAATAGTAGCTATCTAATATATAAAGTTGACGAGTTTGAACGTGCTAATCTCAGGAACTACTGGTTCGAATTAAAAAAAAAATTGTGTTGTTTAGCTTTTATTGAGGAAGGCTATGGGCTATAAAATATGTCGCTGTAACTAAAAGGAGCAAAGAAACAGCGGGAAATATGGAAAAGAACGGGGAAAACTTTATCCTTGCGAGTTTCCGATGTGTACGCTGCGAAAACGATTCGAGATATTCAAAAAATGATTCCCCTTAAAATGAACTAACAAATGTCCGCGACACTATATCTTTCAAGATTAACTTGCAAGAACGACAGAACGTGGCTGACTTCGTGGATAACAATTTAAATATATAAAGATGTAGGTAATTTGATGCCTAAAATAACTATTCTACGCAGACGAAGTCGCCGACACAGCTAGTTATAATAAATCTGAAACCGTTCATAGACGAAAAATATGAAGTTAGAGCGTTTCGGTTTCAAGCCGTTGATTTTTGATAATATCCAATGCCAAAATAGGTCGACAGTACATCTTGTCTTAATGTTCGTCTGTCCTCCTCTGTCATGAAAAAATACGAATATATAAAGTTCCCTTACTAAAATCCAAAAATTCGCCAACAACTCTGTCTGTCACTGTATTACACAATCACACCTAAACTACTATACCGATTTTAATGAATTTTTGTATAGTCTTCGAGTTTTAAATTAAAAAACGAGGCTGAAATTTTGTATGGCAATTTCGCCATTTCTTTTATTTTATTTAATAGTTCAAGTTTATTTATATTATTTATAAGCCTAAACGGCTGATTTTGATAAATCTTTGAAAACCTAGAAGTTTCAGTAGGTCTTCCAGCTGACTCTTTTTTCTATTCTTAATTATACATAAGATATTTTTTAGCACGGGTAAGTACGCGGTATGCGTCTAGTTAATAATAATTATAACAAAAGTAGCTGCAAAGACCGCGGCTAGTGTTACCAGGTGCTGCTAACGGCGAGAGGTAATTATTGTCGTGTAAGGACCAGGTCACATATAAACACAAATGTACGCTTGTGGTAAAAATTCCTTATACCTAAACTGCACCACCAAAAATAGTTATCGGTAATAATATAAAAAAATAAGAAAAGCCACACCTTTGTTTACATTTAAAACTTATAACAACAAATATCTTTAGATATTAATTCGTTTTTAAGCGATAATATCTTGCACCGCGTGTACTCACTGTCAAATGTCTTTACTGTGGCATGATTATAGGAGACCGAAGCCTAAGGTAACAAGTTGGTGTTTCTCACTAGGTCCAAGAACTGGGCCGACCGCGCCACAGTTTATATTACCAATAAAGGGGCAGCATATGATTTGTGAACACAGATGTAGATAACTTTCACCAGGCATATAAAATGCTAGCTGTGCCAGCGACTTCGTCCGCGTAAAATAGTTATTTTGCAAACCTTCTTATTTTTTATAAATTATATCTGTTATAACTCCGTCTATAGGTACAGATGTTTGATAAAATTCCTGTCTATAAGTAAAGTCGAACAGTAAGACAATGCACATGCAGAAAGAGGTAATTTGACTGTTGCTACTATATGTAAGGAAATTTAAATTTTCTGCGATTCGAAAAATTTTGACCAAAGGGGGAAAAATTGCCATTTTCAACATGTAAAACCTAAAATGGTGTGATTTAAAGAAGCATTAAGTTGATTTAACATATTAATTAATAATAATATAAGTTATAGAAATAACACAATTTATTGTTTCGTTTAAGATTATTCTATTTATATTAAAATTATTGTAAAATATGTAAGTTGAGATTGTTATAAAATAATACAAAAACCGGATTGATTTCGCACGTATAAATTGATACGAATCTCCTGCAATACTGTCTATAGTTTACGCGAGTAGTACACATTTAAATAAAACGCTTTAACGGTTTAAAATGCGATATATTAGCGGGAACGTCGGGATGAAGTTAAAAATCATTTTCAAATAAGTTTAACCAATTATATCGCGTTTTAAACCGTTAGTGTTTTATTTAAACGAATCTCCTTATCTAACATTGTATGTGTACATATTACGAATTAAAAATAAAGAATTTCAATCGAATTTGTAAGGCAAGTCTAAGTCTAGATTTACGATCCTGCGTTAAATAATGTTTTCTAGATTCAGTCAGACGCGCAAGTTGGCAATTTATTACAGTACTCCTTCATTCCCTTTGACCTTTCTACCACCTCTGAAGGTGGAGTGGCGGCAGGGTAATGAGAGCCTTCTGCCAGTGAGCCAAGGCAGAGATTGGCCGGAGACGTCGTGTATTGTTGTATCGAGGCCACACTTGTATGGAGCCGGGTGTAATTACAGAGCCCTTTGACGGCGGAACAGTACTCCCGTTGTGTTCACTCGAAAACTAAGGTTTTGTTTAAGATATTTTGTTTGTTTAACTGTAAAAAATGCACAAATACCAGCTGTTGTGTACAGGCGTTCCTTTTTACACTCCGTATGTATATATGTTCGTATTGCAAATTAAAATAAATACTAATTTCGTTTAGAATTCTAATTCTTTTTGTTATTCTCACAATAATATTGAATTAAACTATTTGAGCCTTAGTTAGTTAGTAAACTTATTTATTTTCCTAATCAAATATAATACGAAATAATTTATTTACAATTGAAAATTTTGTAATACAGACTTGGAATAATTTAATTAAATTACCTCATTTAATCGTCAGTAATAAAAATGTTGGCATATACTTTTTATTCATGGTTCATATTTTATTTATTTATTTATTTATACTTTTTACACAACACACGCACAAAATTACAATGAACTAAAAATAATAATAATATCTATAAAGTATGGAGTGTAACGGGCGGCCTTATCGCTATTAAGCGATCTCTTCCAGGCGACCCTTCTTAGGAAAATAATGTAAAACAACTTAATTAGGGGAACGTGCAGGAAGTGCGAAACTTAAAATCTAAATAATTTTACTTATTACAATAATAATAATATTATAAACGTTAAGTTTGAGAGTTGTAAAGTGTAAAATGTTTGTAAAGAAGGTGTTTAAAGCATGAGAGTGAGGGAGCTAAACGAACGGAAATTGGAAGCAGATTCCATAAGCGTACTGCTGTGACCTTAAAAGATTTGCCAAGGTAGGAAGTGCTGTGCGAAGGGACTTCCAGGATAAGTCTATCTGAAGAGCGTAGACTATAGCTAGAGGAACATAAGAATTTAAATTCAGTTTTAAGGTAAGATGGGGTTTTAGGATTAAATAGAATGGAGTATAAAAGGTGAAGGACATGTGCATTACGTCGGAGTCGAATCGGTAGCCAGCCAAGCTGTTGACGAAAAGAACTAACGTGGTCATACTTCCTCAGGCCAAATATAAAACGGATGCAGAAATTTTGAAGGCGGTCAAGTTTGTCTAGTAATTCTTCATTTAAATCAGATGTAGCTGAATCGGCATAGTCTAGTAAGGGTAGGAGCAAGGATTGCGCTAGCATGGTTTTGGTATTAAAAGGTAAGAAGTTGCTGAGACGTCTGAGGGTACTTGATGCTGCATATATCTTTCGGCTAACATCTTTAATGTGATGTGCCCAGGATAAATTACGGTCGAATATTACTCCAAGATTTTTTACGGTCTGCCTAAAATCTAAGGGAACACCGTCGATTGTTACAGGAGGAAGCTGAGTCCAATCGAGTCTGGAGATGTAATATGGGCTACCAATAATGATAACCTGGCTCTTGTGAGGATTTACTTTAAGACCGTAGTCTTTACTCCATTGGACTACTCTGGCCAGATCATTATTGATAGCGAGTATAGCTGACGGTAGATTATCAGGACTCGATGTGACGTAAATCTGTAGATCATCTGCGTAAAGATGAAAATGCGAAGTTAGGCAAGAAGTTAAGGAGTTTATGTAAATAGCAAAGAGAAGTGGAGATAAGACGCCGCCCTGCGGAACTCCAGAACTAGTTGAACTCCATTGGGAGTAAGATTCGTTGGCTTTGATGCACTGGCGGCGCCCAAAAAGATAGCTAGAAAACCAGTTAATAGCGGAAGAGGAAATGTTAATTGATTGTAGTAATTTGAGCAACACTGCACAATTCACAGTATTAAACGCGTTACTGAAATCAAGTAGTGTGAGAATCGTGAGTTGCTTGTTCTCCATGTCATTACGGATATCGTCTGTAACTTTAACTAGTGCAGTAGTAGTACTGTGGCCGGGACGAAACCCGGATTGACGTGGGTCCAAAATACAATTCATTCATATATGCATATTTTTTTATTAAAATAAACGTAGTGCGTGTTATAATTTTGTTTGTTTATTTTATTTGTTTCACATCAAAGTTGTGACAAAATTAAACATTTTTTTGATTTCTATGTAAAAAAAATAGTTTTTTACAATTAGTATTATATATTCAATAGGGAGGACGGCCTCAAATTATCAAACACCTAAAACCCATATTAAAAACTCTGGATCCCAATAAACAGCATACCGGCAAACGCGAAGACACCATTAGTCAATTCTGTAAGGACCCGGCCAATTTCGCCAAATACCAACTTCGACGGAACAGATGGCGCTAGGGTAGCAATTTTTTACTTTGACGTCAGAGACATCCTCCATCTTTAGTCTCCCCGTGACCATGGCTGCTGCAAAGCATCCGAAATGTCGGGCCGAAGTTAAAAATCATTTGCAAATAAGTTTAACTAATATATCGCGTTTTAAACCGTTAAAGTGTTTTATTTAAATTAGTATTATGCATGTAAATTGAATCTGACAAGTTTGGCAACACCCTGTATGTACACATGTGTCGCAAGCTATATGATCGCCCCCTTATACAATCTGTCAGGATCAAGGAGTCAGCACCGATATTTATATAGTACATGGCGGGTATACGCGTTGGCTAGCGTGATTCGCGACACCGTGTGATTCGAGTCGTCAGGCGGTCTGCATAATGTATGAGCGGCGACCACAAAGGAAAATACGATGTAATTTTAAGGTGATAAGGACGAGAATAGCATAACGAGTATCGTCTGTATTAAGGCGAAGAATGATCGCGTATTTATGAGACGAATGGCGGTTGATTTACCGACGCTTAAGATCCTACACTTAAATCGTCTCAACAAGAAGATCAAGCTGTGCTCAAAATTTGTTTCTCGCTGTGTCAGCGACTCCGTCCCGCGTAGAATAGTTATTTTGGGCATCCAAATATGGATGGAAGAAGGGTTTGTATAAACCATCCTTCATTCTTCTAATTTTAGCGTTACCCGTGTTCTTGCAAGTTAACCTTAAAAGATTATGCAGAAGATAGACATATATAAGGTTGCGGCGAATATTTTTAAAAATCATTTAAAGATAAATCATCCCTAATTTCCATATTTAAATCCTATCTTTTAACTGGCTTCAGAATGAATCGCATTTAGGACCTTCATATGCTTTCCTAGGTGTTGAGTGGTTTATTTTATCTATATAGTATGTTTAGCTTTAGTGTTTTAGTGTTAATTTCCAGTTTAAATTATCTTTTTTTATATTTCTACATGCAGCGGTTGCCTGAAAAGAATCGACAGGCGATAAGGCCGCCATTACACAAACATTTTTTATTTTGTTTAAATAACTTTAAGTGTCTATGTTTGTGCAATAAAGAGTTGTGTTATTATTACTATCGCGTTATATTTTTGGCTATTTTGAGTCGTTTTCACGTCAGCATCGGATACATGAATCACAAAGATGAATAGTTTTCCCTATTTTATCCTCATTTCCCGCAGTTCCATTGCTACTATCAGTCATAGCGCGATGTTTCACTCTAACACAAATATAGTTTTTCAATTCGAATCAATAGTTCCTAAGATTAGTGCGTCCAAACGAACAAACTCTTTAGCCTTATATACTAGTATATTTGACAGTTTAACATAAAAAAACATTCGACGGTTTAAATTAGGGTAAAAATTAAAGATTTGCAGGATTTTAATGTATTAAAAAAATGTTCCAATTCAAATAAATTATTACAGAAGTAAACGTAATTTTTGAAAAAAAAAAATTTTACCCAACTGTTCTTGTTTTAATCTGTAAATTAATTGTTACGTCATAACGTGTATCTCTGATTCGGCGCTACCTCGTTAGCTACACTCTACGTTATACTGAGTTTACGTCACTTTAGTAGTAACGAGTTCAATATTTACTATTCGAGTATTTAATCTTTGTAGTCTCCTGTACTATGCAATAAACTTCATACGAACTGCACTCGAGAGCAACGAATCTAGGTCATTAAAAAATACTTATAAATCTCTGGAATTATAATCCAGTTTATTAGAATCAACTTTTTATCTATGAAAGTTTTTAAAGAAATATCTGTACTTTATTTTTTACTTTTGATTCCTTATACTGTGATATTAGTGTTTGTTTCCTGTATTCTTAAATACAAAAACTATTTTTTTAGGTAACTGTGACGTTTGTCTGGACTCAACACTTCTGTAGTTTGTTCAGATTATTACAGATACCAACATGAAGGAATCATCATCTCCGTAACGGATACGATAGCGGATGCGCTATCGACCTATTTTAGCTTTGAATATTCGGAAATCTACAGACTAAAACCGAAACGTGATTAAACATCGCGGATTTGTGGACGATGGTACGCGACCCGCACAAAATTTCAATGTTTGAAAAATTATTAAAATGATAAAAGTTTTGTAAATTGACCCGCTGTTTCTTAGCCCTATTGCTCCATTACATGGGATAATAATTAAGGGATTTGCATGATACGATTTAGGCAACCGGCTTGCTCTTCATAAACAATTGACTCTGTTAACTTAAACCGAATTCAGAGCAGAGTTAAAGCCATTTACGCAGGGTTATCAGTGCATCTGTCAGGGGGGCAATTCGATTTAGATCTGACTATCGATATTTTTGTTATTGTTTATCGAATTATATCGATATTTAATTTTCAATATTACATTAAAGTAGACACTGTCTGTAGTTTACGCGAGTAGTACCCATTTGAAACACCTATAACGGTTTAAAACGTGAAGTGTATTAGTTAAGCGTATTGACAAACCGTTGTTACTGCAAAGCACCCGTCAGGCCGTAATTAAAATAGTTAAAAACGGAAATAAGAAAAACGAATGGATATCATGTTTTATTTAAATTATCATATATTAACTTTTTAAAACTAATTTTCATAACATAAAATTATGTGTCAAACTTGTTTGATGCCAAATCTTTTGTTTCTTTTAAAATTATACTATTTACGTAAGGGTGAGTTTTTCTCGCGACATTTTCCTCTAGTTGACAAGATGGGCGCTTAGTAGAACACAATTTTTACTGTCATGTCTATTGTCTGCATTCACGCTGTAATGTCGACTGTTT